TGTTCAAGCTCTTGTTCTGTCCAGGCTGGACTATTGCAATGCTCTCTTGAAAGGTCTTCCAGCCAGTTCTATCAAACTTTTACAATTAATCCAGAATGCGGCAGCATGATTTATTTTTTAATGTGCCGAAAAGAATGCACGTCACACCTCTGTTTATCAATTTGCACTGGCAACCAATGTTTGCCTACAAAACCACCACTGGCTCTGCACCCCTATATATAAATTCATTACTTCAGAGTTATGTGCCCTCTAGAAGCTTGTGTTCTGCAAGTGAATGACACATTATTGTGCTATCTCAAAGAGGCATAAAATCACTTTCACAGACTTTTTCATTAACTGTTCCCTCCTGGTGGCATAGGCGGAGTTTCAATTTCATGCGTGGGGAGGCACCCACTGACAGACGAGCCATGAGCACTTTTTTATATGTTTTACATTTCATGTATTTATTTTGGATAAAAGCGTCTGCTAAATTAATAAATGTAAATGTAAATGTAAACTGCTAAAGAATGACAATGTTGTGGTCGCAGCATCACATAACCCTCCTGGGCAAGACACTGAGGACACTACATGCAACTCAGTTAGTCTTATTCTTGAACATGGGGACCAGATATGTCTACAGCTCATAGAGAACCGTCGTATCTACACAGATTCACTGAGACGCAACACCTTCAGCGGACACCTACTCTTTACAATGTGAGGTTTCTGCCCATGTAAATTTCTGATGGTATGTTAACCCAAAAAAGTAAAGTAGTAAAATAAAGCTTTTTTTGAAGCTGTGGGGAAAAAAAAGGGGGAAAAAAACAAAACAATGCTTGGCAAGACAAAAATAAAAAAAAACTTTAAATGTAGTAGCATTTTCACACACTGCTTTGTATTATTGTTTGTTGATTTTGTGTTGATCATTCATTAATATTAAAGGGGTCATATGACGTTGCTAAAAATAAACATTATGTTGTGTATTTGGTGTAATGCAATGTGTTTATGCGGTTTAAGGTAAAAAAACCACATTATTTTCC